CCCGCGTCTCCTGCATCGGCAGGCGGACTCTCAAGCACTGCGCCACCAGGGAAGCCCTATAAGACATTATTTTAGTAACTGCTCTGTGTACCTCTCAACTTGTTATGAGGCTCAAAATCTGTAGGGTAAATTCAATGAGGTTTGATGATATTATGCAATTTTTAAGCCAATTGTTTTAGTAAGTAATTTGTTTATAGTAGCCAATGTGTGTTCATTCAAACTGAAAGTTCCATTCCTTTTCAATAGCACTAGGCTTTGAAATTGTAGTACACAATTAATTACCTCAACTTTCCATTTCATACATATGGCCTTACACAAAACTCTTAACTCCTCTTAATTGTCTTAAATAAATTAAACGTTTTTTTAATGTACCCTATTTTTCAAGATGACGTAAAAAATAATGAAAATGAATAATTGTCTTATGTAAAAGAATTTTTTATTGTTATCATTGCAATCAGGAAAGTATGCAAATGTTATGCTGTCATTTCACAATTACCAGGGTAATGGAAGGCCAGAATAATTTAAATACATCACAAATTTAAAATATGTTATCTTTAGCTATAATAGTACTTTCAATACCTTCTCCCATCGGAACTGATCATTGTAAATGGGACTGACTTCTTTCCTCTCCTCTCTGTTAGCTTGTACAGTCTCTGATAGATATGTTCACAGCAGTTTATTTTTAGCAATATGATACAAAGTAGACAGTAGTAGAAAGAACTGAAGAGTCTGGATGAACCACCAACAATATAATTAGCCCTGAACACTGGAGAATTGCCTGAAACATAAAAATATATCACTACAATGAATGCCTAATTGTTTCACATAAAATCAAGAATGGGCTTGAGTTTCAGTCCAAAAGCCCCAAGTTTAAAACACTATTAAAATGTATTTTAACAGCAGCAACCATGCCATCTCTTAAATATATGTGACAGCTCAACAAAATCCCAGAAATTGCAGTGCCTAAGCTGAGATCAGATGCATGAAGCTGGAAATGAAATTCACTGGAAGTAGGCTATGAAGTAGTGTTCTTGTTTTCAGGGCACTAATACATCTTTCAGTGACACCATGCATATGAAACTGAAGGCAATTTTGTGTTAAGCAACAAATAAATCATGGTGACTGGTCAGCCTTTACATACATTGGTATAAATCAATTCATGTCCTAAAAAGCATGTAAACACAACATAATTGTGAATGTGTTCTTCCAACAGTTGGATGTGGCATCAATAATGCCATTTGATGTTTTCTACCTCTTCTTTGGGTTTAATCCAATATTTAGGACAAATAGGATGTTAAAGGTAAGATAACTATACTTAACTGTCTTCTTATAATAATGGAAATCTCAAAGTACTTTAAAATATCCTAAAAGTATCACATTCTTAATTTTTTGTAAACTATCCTCCATTTTTATGCCCTCATCAATGTTAAGAATTTTTAAAGCTGAATGAAGGAAAAACATCCTTATTTCTAGTAATGGAAGTTGCTTTTGAGTCTATATCTCATAACAGCTATTTTTATAACTTAAAATAGGAATGCTTTTATATTTTGAAATACAGCTATATTACAAATGAATATTTTATAATTTTTTTCTGTTCCACTGTCACTATTTATTACATAGTTTAATGTAATAGACTGCAATACTGGCTGTAAAATGAGGGTATTAGTTTAGATGACCTCTAAGTTATCTCACTCATCAAAAATTCTATAATTATAGAAAAATGCAAGCACAGTTTTGCATAACAAAATTATTTATATACTTAGATACAACTCAAATGTCCATCAAGAGAGAAATAGTTAAATACATTGCAGTATATCTATAGAGTACTTTGTAATGCAAAATTAAGGAGGAATTTTTCTATGAAAGACCTCCAAGACAAACTGCTCAGTTAAAAAAAAAAGCTAGTTACAGAACAGTTTATAGAACAATACTAACTTTTGTAACAGAAAGGGGAAAATATTCTATTTTTCTATATTACATAAATAGTGGAAGACTACCCCAAAAATCTAATAAAAATGGTTAACTGAGGTAAGGCTGGGAAGCTGGAGGGAAAAGCAGGATGGGTAGGGGCGGGAATAAGAGAAAAGACTATGAAGATATATATTTCCTATTGTTTTTGAACTATGTGAATGTATTACCTAGTCAAAAAGATTCTAAGATAAATATTTTATAACTCATAGCTTTATCAGATACCTAAGAAGAATCTGAGGAGAGTCAGGATGTGAAATTTCATATAAATTTTTAATAATAGCAATGATAGCTTGTATTTCCAAAGACAGCCTTCTTAAAAGGAACACCAAAGATTTTATCAGTTTTAGGTGGTTATCGCTTTGACACCTTGGGAAGACAAGATGACATAACCTGGAGACTCGAGTGGATCCTAACACAGCTGCAGCTGATATTTGTTGAATACATACTTGTAGCTACATACTTTGATAAACTTCGTATTCATTATCTCATTTATTCCTCCAAACAACCTCATGTTAGAGATGAGGGAAATGAGAATTAGCAGAGTAAAATAATCTGTCCGGACACACTCTGGTGAGTGGCAGTATCTGGATTCTATCACATATTTTTCTGACTCCAAATTCCTTACTATAATCAGATGGGCAAATAAACTTCAGGCTGAAGGAGCTTTCCTTCCACACCCATGATTTTTCCAAGTCAAGAGGGACCTTACTCTATATTCTCATCCATCCAAGACAACTCTAGAGACTTCTGTTTTGACCACAGAATGTAGGTCTAGATTGAGCAGAACTTAACGTTCCCAGCAGCTTGGTGGACTGGCCATCCATCATCAAATTTCTAGTGTAGAATGAATATTTCTGGAGGCCACTGATCAGAGGTAACCAACTTTGAGAGAGACTCAGGTTCCTATGGATTTGAGTGTTTGTCTGGCATTATAATAAAAATTTATAAAATGCTAACTCTTCAAATCCCATCTCTGTGTCCCTTCAGTGTCCAAAAACCTACTCACTATATTAGGTAGTTTTTTTAAATAATATAGGAGATCCTGAAAGCCAACATAATCTTCTTTACATAACCCCCCAGTCCAGTCATCTTCACATAAGTGTGTCATTTTAATGTGCAGTTCTCTAGGGAAAATATCATTTACCTATCTCCAAATTATATAGGATAAAACAAATTAAGAATATAAATTTTCTCTACAGTGAATACTTAAGCTAAATTTTAAAATGTGCCTTTGTGAAAACTTCTGTTAAGAGCACAATAAACAAGTTACCACAAATTGAAATTCTCTTAATCTGAATGCTTAATGGATGTTTCCTACTCAGGAATTCTGGAAAAACAAATCATTTGTGTATATTTCTAGTTAAATAGTCATTGCTATTATAGCTGTTTTCTAATTCCAAATGCTCTATTACAGTCTTATCTACATTGGATGAAATTTTGAACTAAATAATCTTTGAACTAAATAATCTCTAATAGCCCTTCCTATCTGTAAGATCCTATGAGTCTAAGTACATTCTCTTATTGTCCCCAATTTACAGATGAGGAAACCAAAGTACAGAAATATTAAGGGACTTTTCCAAGGTAGCACAGTTAATAAACGGCAGAGAGGAGATTGGTGTTTGGCTCTGGATTTCATGCTCTTGGCTCTTGCATTTTACAGCCTATAGATTAAGAGAAAGTAGGGGGTAAGAGTGCATGTAGGGAGTATTTGTTGCTATAGAAGTGGGTGTAAGCAGAAGAAAACCTTGAGGCAAATAGCAACTGTTTGGATTAAATGCATATAAACTCTCTATGTCTTCGAACAATGTCAAGAATAGATAACAAATGCTAATATTAATTGGACTTTAAATTTTGTTGAAATAAATACACACCTAATGCAACTTGCTTAAAAACAATGCTACTGTTGAGCAACAGGCCTTAACACCTGTTTATGATTTCAATGTATTTTATTACGCTTTTACTATCTTACTTATGTTTTGGGGGGAGGTATGATTTTTAATTATTGTAAAATAAAGTTCTACCACATGCTTTAAAAAAGAAAAAAAAGGAAAGAAATGTTTTTAAGCTTGATTTTCAACAAGCATTACAAACAAGGCTGTAACTAGAGGGTAGAAATAAAATAAAGCAAGAAGCTCTGGAAGTTTGGCACCTTGTTAAAATGCACTACCCGGAGGAAAATACCACTGACAGACCTTAGTTTTTTTAAGACATGAATAGAATTATTTTCAGTAACAAATAAAGTCTATTTTATATTGTTTTATTTAAATATAATAGATATATTTAAGACTAATGCACTTTTGGATTTCTTTTGCTTGTTTCCTACATAGTACACTTCATTTTTTGAGTTTAATCATCACCTAGAGTCTATAATGAACAAGGCATATATCTACAGGTAAAGTATAACTCAATGTACTTCAGGGCTGGGAGAGAGAGCAATGGTGAAATATTTTAGACAGGACTTGGGAAGAATATGGCCTCCCTGCAAAAGAGAAGGGAATAAACTCAGATTTGGGGCTATGTAAAATATTGGGTTGTGTTCTAAAGTAGATTTGAACGTTTTGAAGTGAGATAAATGTATGAAAATTATATTAGATTTTAGAAGAATACAAGACTGAAAAAGAGGACGTATTACCTGCTTCAGTCAGAACAAAGACAGAGAAACGTGCTCTTTCACAAGTTTTTACATCTCTCTCACGACAATTCATTCTAATCTGAATTTTCATTCATTTGTTGTTCTGAACTTAACTTGCCCAGAGACCTCTAGTCAGTTAATCGTAGCATAAAATCCATGAGCTTTTCAGAGATATCCAGTGAAATCAGCATGGTGTATTTTATGGGACTCAAATTGGAGAATTGACCCTGGAGGCATATCTTTCAGGGAGTTGACTCATACCATTTGTGAAAAAAGAGGGTTGTTTTTTTTATTCTACTCTTGTCAGTCCCAGTCAAGACACTGCAGTCAGAAAACATGTGAAGGCACCATCATTTTATATTGTACTAATGAGAGTTAACAGTTCACAAATTTAAAGCAAGGAGATTCAGCAGAGACTTTAAGGAAAAGAAAATGCTAAAATAGGCTGTATTCCAGAAACAACATGAGTCTTACTTTGCATTTATTCTCCTTGTCAGAGGCATTCGAACAACTGGATACTTGCTCTTTACTCTGCACATTAATGCCTGTATGTATTATTGGGCTTCAAACTATGAAGGAATTGGAACTACCAGATGGGTGTATGATGGTGAAGGAAACAAGTAAGTTTTAATTTTGAAGGAAACATTTATTGATTATTCTTAATTTTATGTTTCAGTTTGAGCTTTCTTAAGCTAGTGGTTTTTGAAACTGTAAATCACAATCCATTAACTCTTTATTAGTAGGTCAGTATGTTTTTAAGTGAAAGAGGATAGAATAGAGGAGGACAGAATAGAAAATATCCGAGTCTGTCATACCGAGTAGGGTGCGTGTGTGTGTGTGTGTGTGTGTGTGTGTGTGTGTGTGTGTCCTGGATTAACCTGTAGAATGCATTTCTTACTCAGGATCATGAACAAAAAAGTTTGAAAGCCTGTGCTTTAGACAGCTGAGTGGTAAGGTAACTTTTAATAACTCCTATGCTGATTGTTAGTAATGAAGAATATTAATTATTTGGAGGGCAGATGCAGTGGCTAATTGGTTTACCACTGAAGAGCTTTATGGGTTTATGAGTCAGCTATAACCACTAACTCAATTAAACACAGAGTAACAAGGATCATATGCTAAACTTGGCAATTAGATATGCAAGTACCCTGAGAATAAGAGATTGTCTGAAATTTTTAGTACAGTAGAATCAGGGCTCAATAATGGCAACTGAGTTATTTAATAGTGAAATTTCCTTTTGGTAGATACAAAGGCCTGGCATAAAGTAGATTCCACTAACTTTCTGCTCCAGTGAAATGACATTGAGCCTATTATAAAGCAATGTCCTTACTGGAAAATAACAGGTCCCAGCATGACTTTGAAGGGCAACTCACAGCAGCCTTGGGAAGGAAAGCAATTATAGGATAGAGCAAAAAGAGTAAAGATACCTTACAAAATTACACCCTAGCTAGAGTGAGCAGGATCTGAATGAAGGATTATAACATTTTTTGAACTTTTAACCAGAACTAATTTTAAAAATTTAAAGTCAGAAGGCCCACTGATCGGGGAAATACACACACACACACACACACACACATACACACAAACACACACAACAAGAAGAAAGTGTATAACCAAATCTATAAGTAATTCCCTTTAGAATGTGAATTAAATATGTATTTAGTTTAATATAAGTAATTACAAAGAAAACTGAGTAAGATACCAACTATATTAAATATTGCCTAGAAGTATGTAATTCAACATCATTAGACTCATAAGTCTGATAAGTGTTTTTATCAAATTAGCAAAATAATATACAGTTGCCATCCAGAAAAAGTGGAGCTATTTCTCTTTTCATACCTGGATGCCTTTCTGCAGCATTTCTAGAGAATATATCTTGTTCCCAGTGCCTAGAACATTGTTAAGTATATAACATACACTCAGTATATGTTAGGTATTTAAAGCAGGCAAGAAGGAAGTTTCTTTACTCTCTCTTCCTACTTGCCATCTTTAAATACTTAACATATAGTGAGTGTATGAGAGAGAGTAAAGAAAAAAGGAAGGAATGACCAAATCTGTATTATAACAAGAAGAAAGAAACCTCAGTTTCAACCCATAAGAAACTGAAGCTACATTGTTCTAATATTTTAGACATCTAATTCCAGATATTCAGACCAGATATTCAAAGCCCTCTCACTAAAATACAAGGAGATAAACTACTTGAAATTTTTGTTGTATTAGTTATTGCAATTACTTGTTATAAGATACATTTCTATATAAATTATATTCACCACAGTTTTCAATGATTGCTAAACTCTCTAGAAAGTAAAAGGAATCTTTGTCTAAAAAACAAATGTGTGGGGCTTCCCTGGTGGCGCAGTGCTTGGGAGTCCGCCTGCCGATGCAGGAGACGCGGGTTCGTGCCCCGTTTCGGGAAGATCCCACATGCCGCAGAGCGGCTGGGCCCGTGAGCCGTGGCCGCTGAGCCTGCGTGTCCGGAGCCTGTGCTCCGCAAATGGGAGAGGCCACAACAGTGAGAGGCCCGCATAACGCAAGGAAAAAAAAAAAAAAAATGTGTGTACTGAAGCTGGAGTAGAGTGGTAAGATAATCACTAAGGAACAGAAATAGAGAAGATAATTTCTGAATCAGTAGAATAAAAAAAAGATAAGATTGTAGAAACAACTTAAAATACATCAGTAAGCAGAATAAGTTAATATGAATTAAATTCACCACCTAAAAGAGACTGTCAAATAATATTAGTCAAAATAGACTTTAAAACAAAATTTATTTGAGGGAAAAATAAGGTTATCATATAATGGTAAAAGTTTCAATTCACTATCAATATTTACCAGTTCTAAATGTTCATGCACCTAATGCAAAGTACTTATGATGAATCAAAGAAATTCATAAAGTAAAAATTATTAGAAGGAAGAGAAATTTGCAGATACACTATCAAAGTGTGAGACATCAACACACAACTATTGACTGATCAAGCAACCAAAGACAATCAGTAAAGATATAAAAGATTTGAGAACCCATTAAAAAGCTTGATTTAACAAATACAAATGGAACTTTGTACCCAAGAATTAGAAACCACTCATTAATTTTTTTATTGAGTTATTGTTGCTGTACAATATTATATGCTACAGCTGTACAATATAATGAGTCACAATTTTTAAAGGTTATGCTCCATTTATAGTTATTGTAAAATATTGGCTATATTTCCTATGTTGTACAATATATTCTTGTAGCTTATTTTACACATAATAGTTTGTACCTCTCAATTCCCTATCCCTATAACACCCCTCCCTCCTCCCCTCTCCCCACTGGTAACCACTAGTTTGTTCTCTATATTTGTGAGTCTGCTTCTTTTTTGTTGTATTTACTAGTTTGTTGTATTTTTTAGGTTTCACATATCATACAGTATTTGTCTTTCTCTGTCTGACTTATTTCACTTAGCATAATGCCCTCCAAGTCCATCCATGTTGTTGCAAATGGCAAGATTTCATTCTTTATAATGGCTTAGTATTCCAGTGTGTGTGTGTGTGTGTGTGTGTGTGTGTGTGTGTGTGTGTGTATCACATCTTCTGTTTCCATTCATCTGTTAATGGACACTTAGGCTGCTTTCATATCTTGGCAATTGTAAACAACACTACTATGAACATTGGGGTGCAGGTATCTTTTTGAATTAGTGTTTTTGTTTTTGTTTTTGATATATGCCCAGGAGTGGAACTGCTGAGTCACATGGTAGTTCTATTTTTAACTTTTTGAGAAACCTCCATACTGTTTTCCACAATGGCTGTACCAATTTACTTTACCACCAACAGTGTACAAGGGTCTCCTTTTCTCCACATCCTCGCCAGCATTTGTTATTTGTGCTCTTTTTGATGATAGCCATTCTGACAGGTGTGAGGTGATATCTCATTGTGGTTTTGATTTACATTTCCCTGATGATTAGCAATGTTGTGCATCTTTTCATATATCTATAGGCCATCTGCATTTCCTCCTTGGAAAAAGAAACCACTCATTCTTCTTAATTACTCATGGAAAGATTACAAAAAGTGGTCATTTTCTAGACCAAAAAGCAAGTCTCAATACATTTCACAGCACTGGTATGATACAGCCCCCATTCTCTGCTGCTTTAGACAGGAGGGTTCTCACCCAAAACCAAAGCTCCAATAATCCTGTTACCAGCTGTCAGGGACACATCCCTACAAATAAAATATCTTTAAAAGCAGCATTTATATGTATTTTAAGATAATTTTCAAATGGCAGTTGTTAACATACTTACATTTTCCCACAGTTTTTAAGCATCACCTGCCCCTTCTATTATTCCATATTACCCTTTGACCATGTAAGCTTAAAGCATTTTTTTAGTTAACACTCGCGATGGTTTCTGATGACCTATAAATTGAAGGTTGCTTATGAAATCACTGGACTTGTAAACTTTCTCCTAGTTAGAATTATGCAGCAACTGTGGGGCATAAGTGGAGCATTGTGAGCATTTAAAATGAGTCATTTATTACTATTTTATTAATCCTCATCAGAATAATAATGTCTGTTCATTTCAATAGAAGACAAGAAGTCATTTTCATTTATACTAAGTAGATGGCATCCTTCATTTGACTGTGAAATTTGACAAAGTAGGAAATGGCTTACTTAGCTCAAAAGGAAAACATAAGTAGTTATTTGGTACCCAGAAATGTTCCCAATGTCCCTTAATCCATATATACCCCAATTTATTTATTTTCTGACATAAATTTCCCAGCATGCACAAACCTCTTAGCAAATACCTAGCCTCAATCCCTAACACATAGACCGTCAAAAGAAAGAGTAAAAATAGCAAGCAAGTTTGTCATGGGAATCATGACTTTAAATGGGATGGAGAAAGGGTCAGAATGTCCATATCTTAGTGCTAGGGAAATTTAGGATAACTTACTCCCTTCTTTTTACACAGGAGGAAGATGAGACCAGGGTAGATGAAGGTATTAACTCAGGGTCCCCTAGATACTTCAGTTCAGACACTGACAAAAAAAAAAAAAAAGAATAGTCTTTACACTAGACACTTAGAAAAATGTACCAAAACCTCCAGAACGGCAGAATTCAGTAGACCAGAAGGGAGATGAAAGGCAGTTGGCAGCATGTATGGAACGGGATTGCATAGATGTGCTCACAGATACAGCCTTCCTATGTTCTTAAGTCTAAGTATGCATAACCTTTCACTTATTCTTTCAGGTCATTTAACAAATATATTACACTCCTATTGTGTAATACCTATCTTTGAGGAGTTTATCTTCTAATGAGACCGTTCTCCTCCATATTCGGTGCCTTCAGTGATAAATTTACAGAAACCTAGAACTAAGATGGATTGGGGTAGTTTAAAAGTCCATTCATAAAGTATCAAATTGGGTACTTTTAAAAGTTGCATGTCCCACTACACATCCACCACAATGGCTAAAATTAAAACGACTGACAGTACCAAGTCTTGGGGTAAGAATATGAAGGAAGTGGAACTCATACATTGTTGGAGGGATAAAATCGGACAGTTTCTTTTACAACTAAATATAACACCTACCTTAAAAACAAAAATTGCAAGCCTAAATATTTACCCAAGAGAACTGAAAATATATGTCTAAAAAAATTATATAAGTATATTCATAGAATGTCTATTCACAAGAACCAAAAACTTGAAACAGCCTAGGTGTTCATGCACAGGAAGATGGATAAACATACTGTGCCATAGTCATTCAAGGGATAGTGCTTAGCAATAAAAAGGAATAAAGTACTGATACACATAAAAACACAGCTAAATCTCAAAAACATTATTTTGAGTGAAAGACATCTTACACAACAGTGTATATACTGTGTAATTTCATTGTATGAAATTCTAAAGCAGGCAAAACTCATCTGAGACAGAAAAAAATTAGAACAGTAGCTGCCTGTGTGGGCAGGGATTGACTGGGAAAAGAGAGCTTTTTGGAGTGATGGAAATGTTCTCTGTCTTGATGGGTTTCTGGGTTACACAGGTGTATGGGTTTGTCAAAATTCATCAAATAGTATCAGATAGTATACTTAAGATTTGTACTTTCAATGTATGTTCAAAATTTTAAAATAACTCTTTACCAATACTTAACTCTAGTACATATTTTTTTTTCTGAAGTATATTCTAACATATATATATTCTGAAGTATATTCTGAGTTTTATATATATAAATATTCTGAAGGACTGTATTTAGGAGGAAGTGCCTACTGTCTGCAAATTACTTTGAAATGCATCCAAAAAATAAGATGGATTGATGGATGGAAAATGGAGGAATATGTGACAAAGAAGATAGAGTAAAATGTTCATAATAGAGTCTAGGTCGTGGATATACGGTGCTCACTGTGAAATTCTTTCAGTTTTTCTGTTTGTTTGAAATATTTCAAAACAAAATGTTGGGGGGAAAGTTTAATGCTGCATTTGTTTCACAGAGGAAGAATTTCTATTTTCACACTAAATTTTTTTTATGGTTTTATGTCAAGTTCTGCCTTAGTGCTTTAACTTGGGGCTGTATATAGAGAGCCTGTAAGACAGCTCATGTATTAAATCGGCCAGATAGAATCTCCTTGAAAAGATCTATCTACCCAGGATGTAAATGTTAGAGGTGGATACACTTGACTAATTAAGCTAATCCTAGAAAATCAATAAGATGCCATCTAATTAAATTACAAATCTTACCTTTGGTTGTGCATGTCTGGCTGTAAGACATGACTGAGAAAAGAATCCCAAAATAAACCTCAAAGCATCCGGGCAGAAAACTTCCAATTAACATAGCAGACTGTTTCAGTATGAAAAAATAGTTCGAGGCTAACCCTTCAGATTTGGAAAATCAATGCCTAAGTTTTACATTTAATTGCTATTTTCTAACATCCATAAATAAGAAAATGAGAGAAAGTAATTCATGTGTTTGTTCCTCTTAACACTGGAGGGACTTTGTAGGGGATAGTAATCCCAACACTTGAAATGGAATTGCCATGTAGGGAGAGAATCTGGTCCCTGTCTCACTCTTGGGCTGTATTGGGGTCAATAAATTTCCTTAATTCAGAGACACCCACAGGTCCAGGACCTGTGATAACACTAAATCAGGTAACAGGAAATTATAAATTGGAATTGAAAAGTTAAAATGCAATCCATAAAATTCATTCCATACTTCTTCAAGGTGGTTCTCTTTGACATCAAGTTCACTATAATATTTGTTAAGTCTAAGGAAGCCTGCTAGAAAAACTATTGCAGAGTAGTAATATTTTTATTCTCTTGGCACAGAGGTTTCAAACCTTACCAAAGAGTTAATTCTTTGTCTGTTCCTATATCTACCAGGTAAAACAAACAGACAAACAAAAACTCAGGTCCTTCAAAAGGTATTGAATGTCAAAACAAGTGATTTCTTTCTAGATCTGTTTTTATTTGAATACTGACTTTAACTGCAGTTTGATTCTTTCTTTGTAAACCTCAACTTCTTAGTATTTGAAGATCTGAAAATTGTAATCTATTTTCACAAGAAAAAGACCATCCTTGTTCAAAGACAAATGTACCATTACTTAAATTGCAAATGCTTATGTCGCACACCCAGACAAGAAATAAAAGCCTGACTAGGGCAGGATTCTGTAAAAAGTGCTGCTTTTCTGTGTTTACTCTGGAAACTAGAATAGCTAGCTGGAACCCACTAAATCCAAATGTCTCTCTGTAACAACATCTGAAGATGGTCTCTATATATGGGACATTTCTCTTCAAGGATTCAGTGGAAATGTCTGATCCAGACCATGTTAACAGAACTGTATGGAATATACCCAGTAGTATACCTAATTGTGTACCAAAATTACAATATATATATATACAATGGGGTTGTAATACTAACGTCTATTCCCACCTCACTTGGATACATGAAACCCTTGATCAAATATAGCTAAGTGAATCTTATATGTTCTTTCCTAATCTTTATCATATTCTTTTCTGTTGCCCTGGTTCCTGATGTTCTTCCCATCTGGGCTATTATGATCTGTCTCTCCACTTGCAACTGCACGAGTTAGGTACAGAATCTTTACCAAGTATATTTCTGAGCATAATTGGTTTTCTTCAATACTAAATTTCTAGGTAAATTACCTATTACACCCAAGAGTAATTCCCCTTTTAAGATATAACTCAGTTTTCCTCTGTCTCTGCCACGGTTTATATATTCAATAACATAATAAGCTATGAGTAGAAGATAGAGAAGCATATACCTACTTGCTTTACTTCCCATCAGTAAAAAATAACTGGTTCTAAACTGTAAAGGGCTCTCCCATCTCCATAAACACACTTGATGTCTATGATATTCCTCACTAATCACTAGTGGGGTAGTTTAAAGGTAGCCTCACATCATTTACTGCTCCTCTTATTGAGAGGTATATTCAAATATCCCTTCCCTTGAATCTGGGCTGGTCTTAGTGACTTGCTTGGCAAATATACATGGCAAGAGATTAAGACATTGCAGGGCTTCTGAGTTATAAGAAGCCTTATAGCTACTGCCTGGGCTGCTATCACTCTGGGGAAACCAGCCACCAGACAAAAAGTCCATCTACCCTAAGACTTCCATGCTGTAAGGAAGCCCAAGCTAGTCATATGCAGAGACCGAATGAAAATACCCAGCCAGCCCCAGCTGTTCCAACCATTCCAGCCCAGGCTCAGACTGTGAGAGAAGATACCCTGGGCATTCCAAACAGATATAACATGGAGAACAGAGGAACCCAGTCAACAGTTAGAACCAAGGCCTCAGAACTTTGGCCTCAATCAAGTCCTCCCAGTTGTCTCTAACTATTCAAGTCACCTGAGGGTCCACTCATCATAGAGCATGGATGAGCCATCTCTGTGGGGCCTTTTACAAAATACCTGACCCACAATATGATAAGCCTAGTAAAACAGTTGTTATTTTATACCACTAAACTTTAGGGTGATTTGCTTTGCAGCGAAAAATAAGTGGACCAGCTAGTAAATACCCTCCTCGGGTTTGTTTAGTCATTTCACAATGTTTATCAAGAAGTTTACATTAAAAAAGAAGTTTACATTAGTATACATGGTATTTGCTAATGCTGCCTACAGAAAGAAAATCTTGATTAGCAGGAAATGTGTTAAAATCTAGTAGTAATCTATATTCCCAAGCATAGTGGCATTTTATTGTTATAGTAAAGAGCAAAATGTGTATCTTCTCTTTTCACAGGTATCTGAGATGTTATTATTGGGCAGTTCGAACTTTAATTACCATTGGGGGCCTTCCAGAACCACAAACTTCATTTGAAATTGTTTTTCAACTGTTGAATTTTTTTTCTGGAGTTTTTGTGTTCTCCAGCTTAATTGGTCAGGTAAACTGAGATGTGAATCCCTGGATATAAAATGCTGTCATTTTTGAAAGTCTAACAAGTCTTTATAAACTTTACAGAGAAAAATTCAAAATCTATCTGGTGTTTTTTTGTAACTAATTTCCATCTATTTTGATGAATTGAATGGGGATGTAAATAGATCAACATTGCCTTTCAATTTTTAAACCATCAAATTTTTCAGAAGACTTGTACACAATGAGTGCTGCGTTAGATTCTCAGAGAGTCACGTTTCTAAGTTAACTTCTCACTTGGTGTTTCCTGAAAACTTTAGAAGCTCTCTTTTTTTACTTAAACTTCAAATATTGTCATAAAATCCCTGGCTTAAAATCAACTTCAAAAGTCATTTAAACCAGAGGCTACCAAATGCTGTCTAAATTAATTTAATTAAAAAATCATTGGTTCATAAATGTTTATTATGGTATCTCCTTGCCTTATTCTCAAGGAATCACAATCTAGTAAGAAAGTAAAACAAACACCCAAATAACTCTATTGCAAGGTAGATGCCATTTGCAAGAGAGAGAGCCCAACACCTTTGTAAATTCCCAGATTCACAAGAAATAAAAAGCTCGCAGTATAGCATCTTTAGACGTTATACTTCCTTGTAAGGCACTTTACATATTATATGTCTGAGAGCAAAAGCCATGTTGAGATTTGTATATGTGGTAAATAGTTAGACAAAATCACAAAATGATTATTACCACTAGATAAATTATTGGTTCCCACTCACCACACTGACAGTGGTATGAATAAAACTCATGCTTTAACAAAATTTAGCAATGAAAACTATTCATTATAACATTTGAAGCTGATAACAAATATAACTCAAATCCTACATGCATGAATGTCAAGGGGCTGCTATCCTTGATAAGTTCCAGAGGAGAGTTTGAAAGCTCTGTATTAGGTCAGAAAAGGGAAGCTTCCCAGGAGGTTTCATAGAGGAGAATGTATTTAAAAAACCAGATAGTATTCAGTAGTTATAGACAGATAGTTCAATCAATCAGAAACAGTGTGTGAAAGATAATGATAAAGCACAAGATATGTTTGAGAAAATAGAAGAAGTACCAGAATGATGGGAGTGAAGGACACCTATAAATAAGGTTAGAGATGTATGTAAGGACAAGATATTTTAAGGGCTCTGAATGTTAAATTAAAGATGTTGAATTTTATCCTAAGGGCAATGGGAAATCAGCCAGGGAAGGATTTTTAACAAATAAGAGATTTAAGGAAGATTAATCAAATATAATATAAATTGGAAGGATCATACAGTTTTAAAATGTAGGTTTTATTATCATTTATGGATGGTGAGGCCAACAGATCAGGAGACCATTTACATTGAAAAGACAGTCTGTTATACAAACAGATCCAAGAAGAGGGGGTCACACCTTGCCAATAGGGCTACATAGGGAGGCACAAGGAAAGGAACTGATCAAGCAGGGTAAGGGGGTTTAAGATTGGCAAGTTAGAATAATTTCAGCAGTCTCTGGGGTGTAGGGACTCTCTCTAGTTGTCTGGTACCTGGCCCTGGAGTAATTGGGGCAGGTGGATAGTAGCCTAGAATATGAGAGCCCAATAAAGAAGGCTGTTGGGAGTATGGGCTCAGGGTTGGCTATTTTGCATATGAAAGGCACACTCCCAGTAGTTTGCTATATTTAGGAATCCGCTAACTCTGGGAGAGATAGTCCCAGAAATCAAAGAATCAAAATACAGAAAATAAAAAACATAGTGCTCAGGGATATGGCAACTTCAGCCTGAACATGGTAATTGAATAGAGAGAGAGACTGTAAAGGAAATTCTATTTAGAAAATGTTTAGGTTTGGAAAATGAACACCAAGCAGTTAAAAACTATAGCACAAATTATAATCTTAATGCCTGGGGAGATTACATTAACAGCGATTGAAAATAGGAAGCTTGCAGAGACTTCCCTGGTGGTGCAGTGGATAAGACTCCATGCTCCCAATGCAGGGGGCCTGGGTTTGATTCCCCCCACATGCATGCCACAACTAAGGAGCCTGCCTGCCTGCCTGCCGCAACTAAGACCGGGTGCAACCAAATGCATAAATAAATAAATAAATATTAAAAAGAAAATAGGAAGCTTGTTTATAGAGAAATGCAATTAATTTGAATATAAATGGTAAAAATCATATTTAATAAATTTTTATAAAATATATGTGAGGTAGCCAGACCCCCTTCAATGTTTTCTCAGTTTTGCAGTTGAGTCAACCCCAGTTTAAAGAGATTAAGAGGCAACCCCAATTCCTACATGTAATTCATAGTCATATGATAAGGCCATATCATATTGAGAAAAATAGTAAAATCTAACATGTATTTAGCACTTACTATGTCCAAGGAAATTTTTACAAGATTAAAAACCATGTCCAGGGGCTTCCCTGGTGGAGCAGTGGTTGAGTCGGCATGCCGATGCAGGGGACATGGGTTCGTGCCCCGGTCCGGGAAGATCCCACATGCCGCGGAGCGGCTGGGCCCGTGAGCCATGGCCGCTGAGCCTGCGCCTCCAGAGCCTGTTGCTCCGCAACGAGAGGCCACAACAGTAAGAGGCCGGCGTACCGCAAAAAAAAACAAAAAACTATGTCCAGCTCCAGTTAAAATTCCGTTCAAAGTGGTCTTTGGACTAACAGTAGAAGCATCATCTGGGAAATTCAAAATTCAGGCCTCACCCCTTACCTACTGAGTCAGAATTTGCATTTTAATAGGATCTTCAGGTGATTCATATGCACATGAAAGTTTGAAAGGGCTGCTTTATACCCCACACTGCACCTGCCTTTACAGTGACTTTTTTATTTGTTTGTTTTTTGTTTTTGTTTTGTTTTGTGGTACGCGGGCCTCTCACTGCCGTGGCCTCTCCCGTTGCGGAGCACATGCAGGTTCAGTGGCCATGGCTCACGGGCGCAGCCGCTCCGCAGCATGTGGGATCTTCCCGGACTGGGGCACAAACCCGTGTCCCCTGCATCAGCAGGCGGACTCTCAACCACTGCGCCACCAGGGAAGCCCTACAGTGACTCTGAGGACCCAAAGAACAAGAAGAAATATCAAGCCGCTAAACATGTAGGACTAGAGCCAAAAAGAAAGATTGAGGCAGGAGATAGAGATTTGTGCCTTAACTGTCACAGTGAATTAAAGGTGCTGAGAAGGAGAACAGTTAGAAATGAAAGTAAGAAAGCCCTGGACAAAACTTCCACTTGTTAAAAATTCCCGCATATAACCACGTCAAGAACTACACCCTGGATGTGATCATCTCATTTTAACTGCAATATTCTATTCTCACATACAACTCAGAGAGACTAACCTTTTCTTCCTCTAATCTGGAACACACATCATAGAATATATGTCTTCTTCATCTGCACCATCAAAATTCAGCATTGCACATAAAACATTCAGATTACTGTCACTACAAATTCTCCGCCCCCAACACTGATCAATAATGCTTTTAATTGTCCTTGGATCCCAATTTAAAACTCTATTAACTTTCCCAACCTAATCTCTGATATCCCAATTCTCAAGGCCTTAGGTGACTGGGTAATATTCATCATCTGTCAGAAATGGCTTGAAAAAAGAAGATCTAGGAACTGAGGTGGTTGAAGAACAGCCCTCAAGGAGTAGGTTAGAAACTGAAAAAGTATACAGTTTGACTCTCTGCATAGCTACTCGGCAGACACTTTTGACAAGCAGAAGAACCTATTAACTCTGAAATGGAAACTGAGGATGGCATCACAATAAAAGAGCCATTTGATCTAGATCTCAAAGAATGAGTAGTTTTTCCATAAGCAGAAAAGGCTCAGCTACTAGAATGAATGAGCGAAAGTGACGCCCAGGTTTTCCTCTGTATTATAAACCCATAGTCAAAGCAAATTTACAACCACTTGCTTCCCTCTATGTGAGACGAAGAGTCAAGCTATATCTTTTCTGTGCTGAGACCTTAAAGATCAGCTTTTAACCTAGAGTGGGTTTTCATGGCTGAGTTATAAACATCCAAGAACTAAAACCTGACAGTTCCTTAAGTATTGTCACAGCAGTAGATGATGCTTCAGTAATTTCAGCACATTTCAACTTCTGCTGAATACTATGCCTTAAGCATAATGAGATTTGATTCTATCTGTCTAAACAACACAAAGGGAAGTATAGAGGTTGCAATTTCGTGATGAATTGAGTCTATATAGCCAGCCACACTGCAAACTCTATGAAGGATGCTTTCTAAGCGAGACTCACCAAAACGGACTAGCCGTTCTGCCAGGTAATTGCTCAACTTTCTTTGCACATTCCTTGCATAAGCACAGCTGTATAATTTTTAAAATATCAACTAACATCTTTGCAGTAATATACAAGTTTGCAAAGAAGATTGTGTGCAGTCACATGCATTATGTGACTGAATCCTCACAGAAACCTCACATGGTAGGTAAAACAGGTTCTATTGTCCTTATTGGGTCAGAAAGAGGATACGATTTGCCCAATATTTTATAGGTAAATGGCTGAAAGTAGGACCCAATATCAGTGTGTTAAAAATCAAGTAGTCAGGGATTAGAATAGAATGTATCATGTGAGAACTCTTAATTCAACTGGGCTTATAGTAACTCTGCCACTTCCTCTGCTGGGTGTGGAGTGACCATGTTTGTGGTTTTAGATGCAAGATGTAATTGGGGCAGCTACAGCCAATCAGAACAACTTCCGCACCTGCATGGATCATACCATTGCCTACATGAACACTTATTCCATTCCTAAGATTGTGCAGAATCGGGTCAGGACTTGGTATGAATATACATGGGACTCTCAAAGAATGCTAGGTAAGCACGGCAAATTACTGACTAAAACCCTGTAAAACGTGTCCTATAATGAAAATCCTATAAGGCAGCAATGGCAACTAACTGGGTTTGAAAAAGGCTGGGAAACAACCAAATAATCTTTAAAGCATTAATTTAATACCATGGGCTTTTTTTCCTTAAATATTCAGACATAACTTACGGGTTATGCAAATCCTTCAAGAGCAAAGGCTAAATTTTATTCAGTGCCCACCAGATGCTAGATATTACACACATTAGCTCATATAATCTTCATCAAAAAAAAAAATGGGGAAAACTTGGTGTCATCAACCCCCTCTTAGGAGACAAGGAAATGGAAGCTCCTAACTGAAAAAGTTGGCCAAGGACACAGAGGCCTTAGGCAAATGGCCTAAATGGAACTGAGACATGCACCTGTTCTTCTCCAAACCCTTGCTCCCTCTGTGATATCATCCTCTTCCCAGAGCACAGTGAGTACTCAGAACAGCAATCTTTCAAGCCATTTTCAAGCTGCTACAGGTCTCCTCTAAGAGTCCCTTAATCATTCATGGTGTCTACTATTAGGACTATAACACTGGAGTTAAAAATAATGTTTACTAAAGATGTAAAGTAAGTTAATGTGCTAGTTGACAATAATCAGATTCAACTTTTAGTTTGCTCCTCACCATATAAAAATAGGAATTAGTGCTACTGAGAAGCCAATAAAGCTACTGCCCTCAGAATGCAAATTACAATGCGATTCCCAAATTGGAAGAACCAATATAGTGAAAATGACTATACTATCCAAAACAATCTACAGATTCAATGCAATCCCTATCAAATTATCAATGGCATTTTTTACAGAACTAGAACAAAAAATTTCACAATTTGTATGGAAACACAAAAGACCCCAAATGCCAAAGCAATTCTGAGAAAGAAAAAGTGAGCTGGAGGAATCAGACTCACTGACTTCAGACTATACTACAAAGCTACAATAATCAAGACAATACGGTACTGGCACAAAAACAGAAATATAGATCAATGGAACAGGATAGAAAGCCCAGAGGTAAACCCATGCACATATGGTCAATTAATCTATGACAAAGGAGGCAAGCATATATGATGGAGAAAAGACAGTCTCTTCAGTAAGTGGTGCTGGGAAAACTGGACAGCTACATGTAAAAGAATGAAATTATAACACTCCCTAACACCATACACAAAAATAAACTCAAAATGGATTAGAGACCTAAATGTAAGACTGAACACTATAAAACTCTTAGAGGAAAATATAGGAAGAACATTTTTTGACATAAGTCACAGCAAGATCCTTTTTGATCCACCTCCTAGCATAATGGAAATAAAAACAAAAATAAACAAATGGGACCTAATGAAACTTAAAAACTTTTTCACAGCAAAGGAAACTACAAACAGGACTAAAAGACAACCCTCAGAATGGGAGAAAATATTTGCAAATGAATCAATAGACAAAGGATTAATCTCCAGAATATATAAACAGCTCATGCAGCTCAGTATTGAAAAAACAAACAACCCAATCCAAAAATGGGCAGAAGACCTAAATAGACATTTCTCCAAAGAAGACATACAGATGGCCAAGAAGCACATGAAAAGCTGCTCAACAGCACTAATCATTAGAGAAATGCAAATCAAAACTACAATGAGGTATCACCTCACACCAGTTAGAATGGGCATCATCAGAAAATTTACAAACAAAAAATGCTGGAGAAGGTGTGGAGAAAAGGGAACCCTCTTGCACTGTTAGTGGGAATGTAAATTGATACAGCCACTATGGAGAACAGTATGGAGGTTCCTTAAAAAACTAAAAATAGAACTACCATACGACCCAGCAATCCCACTACTGGGCATACACCCAGAGAAAACCATAATTCAAAAAGACACATGCACCCCAATGTTCATTGCAGCACTATTTACAATAGCCAGGATATGGAAGCAACCTAAATGCCCACCAACAGATGAATAGATAAAGAAGATGTAGTACATATATACAATGGAATATTACTCAGCCATAAAAAAGAATGAAATTGAGTCATTTGTAGAGACATGGATGGATATAGAGACTGTCATACAGAATGAAATGTCAGAAAGAGAAAAATAAATATCATATATTAATGCATATATGTGGAACCTAGAAAAATGGTACAGATGAACCAGTTTGCAGGGCAGAAATTGAGACACAGATATAGAGAACAAACATATGGACACCAGGGGAGGAAAGTAGCAGGGCGCTGGTGGTGGTGGTGTGATGAATTGGGAGATTGGGATTGACATATATACACTAATATGTATAAAATGGATAACTAATAAGAACCTGCTGTATAAAAAACTAAGTAAAATAAAATTCAAAAAACAAAAACAAAACAAAACAAAGTTTCTTAGAAGCTGATAAGAATCACTGGTTGTTGACGGTAGGACCTTATCTTCTCCTTTCTGCCAGTCTTAAGAGGTTCCAACCACAGGTTTAGAACCTCTTCCTGAATCTAAATGACAAAAACAACAAATGTTTTTCTTAAACATACACAGCTATTCCTGCGGGCATCTCAAGCAGGGAGGAAGAGGGGCAGTAACAGGCTCCTTCCCTCTCTCCCTGTGGACACTGCTCCAACTCCTTCATTTAGGAAGGAACTAGAGAAAAAAAGCCCTTGGAAAAAAGGAGTTGTGTTTTTATAGAAAAGATTTTCATATTTAGAACCAAAGTTGGAATCAAAATAAGGATATAGTATAGAATTTTTTTTCTTTTCTAAATGGATGCAAGAAAACATCAAAAGTAATCAGCTCTCAGAAACCCATAATATACTGTAGACTAAAAATGGGCAGTTTTATTCACGGACCATTTTATCAGCCTGAAGGCCCATCATTTAATTCACACATAGAAAAATCTTTAATGTACTCACATACTTCATTGAGTTAATAAGCAAGTAAATAACAATAATTTGAATTTACTCACTTAACAGATTTCTTCTTTAGATTCCGCTCCCAGCTCAGCCACCCACCACTTATGCACAGATGAGTAAATCACTTACAGCCTCTCTGAGTTTCAGTTCCCCTTTTGTTTCTTCTTTCCAGAAAGTAGGAGTAAGAATATTTATCCTTAGGGTTGTCATGAGGGTCCAATAAGATCATGACAGGACTCTGTAAGCTACACGGTATTCATTATTCTTTGCCATCCTTAGGATGTTAGGGCTGGTCTGCAGAATCAGAAGATAGGAACTAGATCCTTTTTCCATCCCAGTTTGTTCGCTAGCCTTTGTCCCATCATCACTAAGCTTTAAAATTTCAGCAAACACAAAATTCTGGAATTATTCAGAACTATTATGTCACCAATATTGAAAATAATTTTCTTTCATGCAAGTAATAGTGCAATTATGATAAGTATGTATGCCCAATAGAAGCAATGAAAATATAGATTGTGATGCAGCTGTTTATAAAAAGAGTTGATATTTCGTTTCCTTTATTTTTTTAATTGTCCTTGAACTTTGATGTTTTTTCCTTAATTATTCTCCTTTATGGACTGATGTGTTTATCTTCATGAAGATGAATCCGACCTACTTGAGACACTGCCAACTACAATGCAGTTAGCCCTCACCACTGATGTGAACTTCAGCATCATCAGCAAAGTCGACTTGTTCAAGGCAAGTGTTTTTCCAATTCATAGGAAGGCACCATATCAATTTCTCTGTAAAAATCAAAGCTCTTGCTGAATTCTTGGTTGATAATTTGTTCTTTGAGCATTTACACTATATTGTCTCCCTGTCATCTGTTCTCCATTATTCTGATATAAAATAAACTATTATTCTTATTGAAAAACAAAAACAAAAACAAAAAAGCTCTTGCTGAATACAGCATTTATGGTTTTTTTGCCTTTATGTTTACAACATCAAAATAATCTGGAGAATTTATGTGAAATTAGAGTCAAATAAACTACGGATCTCTCTTCAGCAGATGACTTGTTTAGAAGTCTCTCTCTCCTAACTGGTGTCAAAGAAGAGTTCTTCAAGGTCTTCTTGCATTAATTTAAATATAATTAAATTCTACAGCTCTATATCTTTGCTACTACACATGTCATCTCCCATTTATGAATATGCCTTGGCAATGCATGGCAAATCAGGCCCCAGATTAGCTCTGGTTTGGCCTGACAGTCAGAGAATCATGCCTAATCATGTCTCCAATACAAATCCTTAGGATTTAGATTTTTTACATGGCCAAATTCAAATTTAGAGGGTTTTTTTTTTTTTTAAAGAAAAAATGTATAGCAAAGAAAATTTTAATGTTTTGAATGTTTTTAATTTTCTGCCCTCTTCTCAATGCATTATACTATATGCAAGTTTTTCTCACCTAACACTTATTCTGTGTGTGGCATTCACTGATTCATCTATTTAATTAATTCATTCAACGAACATTTATTAAGTTCCTACTATGTTCCAGGCACCATATTAGCCACTAGGAATTCAACTTCTAAAAACAAATACTTGTACACATGGGGCTTAAATTCCAAAAGAGAGGAATGAAAAATAAATATATAATATGTGAGAAGGTGATAATGCTATGAACAAAATTAAACAGATTAAAGAGGATGAGGGAGGTACTGGGCATGAAAGGTCTGCTCTAATGAAGTGCAATTGAGCATCTGGGCAGAGGACTGCAGGATGCAAGGGAGTGAGCCATGCAGATATTGGGAGTGGGAGAGGAGGGATGGACAGAGAGGGAATATTACGGGAGGATGGACAAGATGAAGCCCTGATCTGGGAGGCTGGAGCAAAGGCAGAGAGATGTAAAGCAAGAGTAGTCAGAGGAAAGTAAAAACAGGAAGGATGAGTCAGGGGGGAAGTTAATGGAGGGCTTTGGAGGCTGTAGCATAAAATTTGGATTGTACTTTGAGATGCAAAACCCACTAAAGATCTTGAGCAGAAGATGATCTACTTGAGATCTGTTTGAAAGGGATTTTTTCCTGCTCTGTGGAGAGTAGACAAGGAAGCAAATATGGAAGTCAGGGAGGCCAAAGAAGGATAACATCTATAGACGTCTATAGGGATGATGGTGATTAGACCCAGAATAGTAGGAGCAGAGTTAAAAAGTGGCCAAATATTGGATGTATTCAAAGGAAGAGCCCACAGTTTTTGCTGTTTGATTTTGTGAAGGGAGAGAGAGACAGAAATGAAGGATGATTCAGGATTTAAGCTGAGGAACAAAGATACCATTTGCAAAATAGGAAATTTTAGAGTAAGTGTAGGCTGAGGAGTGTAGAAATAGACTGTTTTTGCATGTGTTGGTTTGAGGTGAGGGTTAGACTTCAGATGGAATGTCATGTAGGCAGTTTGATAAATAAATCTGAGTTTAGGGGAGAGGTCCAAGCTGGAGCCATAAATTTGGGCAAATCAACGTATTGATGGATTTTAAGCTAGGGACTAGATATTATCCCCTATTATGTAACCCAGACAGAAAGACATGCCTTGAAAATACATAATCGATATCATTGTGGGCAAGATGAAGAAGCAGACTCTGTATGGTAAAATGGTTAGGCAGAGTCACCCTCGATGTTAGGTTACCATACAGTGTCCTAAATGGCCTTAGGAAGGAAGAGAGGGGATGCCCTGGGGTCAATTCCTGGAGATTATAGGAAAGTAGTTTCCTATTTGGAAAGTGGTTCCCAATTTCTAGTGCGAGTGCCACAGCGGAAGCTCTGGTGAGGTCGAAGCACCACAGAATGTATTCAAACAGTTTTCTGATCTTCTACCAGGGAGACTGGGAAAGGGATTTCTACCTTGGTTAACAGGTTCATCTAGATAAATGGTTTTCAAGCTGCAGCTTGCAATTCATTTAGGGATCATGAATTCAATTAAATGGGTCACAAACAGCATATAAATTAGACAAGAAAATATCAGAGTGCCTCACACATAAGTAAGGGTAAGCACTGTATTACAAAATTTTTGTTTCAGTTATTTATTTTTTAAATACACATATACATATCTATGTGTGTACTGGGCACAATGTAAATGTCTTTGTTACTACAAGTTACGGTCAAAAAAGGTATGAAAGCCACAAGGCTAAATTAACAGTATTTTTAAATGCTATAAATTTTTTTACAACTTAAGGACTAGCTTAATTGAGAATAAATGAGAATAAGTGAGAACCAGCTAGATTTTAAAGAAAACAAAAGCTTTAAATTATATACCAGTGACTTTTATGGGGTTATCTCTGATCTGGGAAGTTATCAGTTTTCAGCCTCAGAGTTTTTTCCTTTGTTTTTACATATATTTTTGGAAATCCATAAAATCAGCAACATCTGATTGAGAAAAAAATGTTAAATCTTCACATGTTGCTAACGTACATAAACATAGATTCATTCTTTCCTGACATTTCCATTAAAGATGTAGTTCCTTCCAGAAAGAAACCATTTCCATTTATATTTCTGTTAAATGAAAAAATTATTTTTTACCTAAAGCCAAATGAAGTAGAAAATAAGCAGGTATGGAAGCTTTCTAAATTTCTTTCTTTTCTAAATCTTGCTAAGACAGTCTTAGTGGTTTGTACAGATTTGTTATTTTCTTAGGGAGGAAATATGCTGACTAGGGATCTTATATGCTTACCTCATAAATTACACCCAGTTGACTCGTGTTGCTTCTGATTCAGTTACCATTCACTGAGAGCCACCTATGGCCTCAAGGGGCTGAGGCACAAAGGAGGAAACCTTTGGAGCGTGTGTGCCCAGAGGATGCTCAGGAAGCTTCAGAGTGAAAAGGGGGAGGCTTCCGGGCAGAAGCCTCATTATCACTCATTAGGACCAAAATATGGGCTGGCAACAAAAGATGAATCTAGAAAGGTCAACTGAAGCCAGGCTATAGTGTGTGGGCCCAATCCTATAGGCCAAGGAAGCTGGAAAGGAGGAAACTGACAGCACAGATTTCAGTTTTATAAAGACAAAATATGGGGACGCTATGAATAGATCAGAATATCTAGGGATAATAAAGAAGGGTGACTCAACTGCTGAGAGCCTCCATATCTTGAATTCTCCCTGAAAATGAATCTTCCAGATCTTTAAAAGGCAGGCAGGCAGGAAGAGAAAGAGACAGAAAAAAGAGACAGAGAAAGACAGAGAAAGAGACAGAGAGATCTGACACCAAGATTGGAGGCTAGCAGGCATGCTTTGTGTCTTCCCAATCTTCAGGATTAGGATAAATTAAAGGTACTTGAAAATCATTTAACTCACAAATACCTAGTTTAAGATGTCCTAAAGAATATTTTAAGTTTATATCTTGGACCTTCAGTCAACAATTTCAAAAGGACTTTTCTCCATTTTGTAAATTTGTGAAGGGATAGAGATGTAGTAGAATTTGTTTGCAATGCAGCACCAGGTAATAATTCTATGCTAAATAAACTTGCTTCAGTTTTTCCAGAAATATGTCTGTAACTTTAATTGTGCATTGTATTCAATTTTTAAAACTCCAAAAAGGACAATGTGCTTATATTTCTTTCCTTTTAGCCTTGTGAAACTTGTTTATATATTAGTGGAACAGTGAGTGTCCTAATGCTTTAACAAAAGTAATATAAGTAATGCTGGAGTATCACAAATTATAATATGGACAATGTTACATGAAGGAGGTCCATACTGTCCATGATCCTTCATTCCCAGTACTGTCACCATATACCTTGCTATACCCAATACTCACATGGCCCCTGTATTAGTCAGGGTACTCCAGAGAACCAGAATCAGTGAGATGTGTGTGTGTGTGTGTGTGTGTGTGTGTGTGTGTGTGTGTGTAGTGGGGGGGGAGAGAGAGAGAGACAGGGAAAGA